TTGATGGTAATCTTTCTCTAGCAACCGTGATTTTTTCAAAAATATTTTCTCTTTAATTTTTGATGCGGTTGTTTATGGGTTTCAATTGGTGAAATACCCAGGACTAAAATCGAGTGGGTGCAGTTGCCCCCACTAGACAACGGGTGGCTCCGCCCCTGTTTCTGATGATTCCTCTATTCGGTGAAGACCAGAAGATTTGGGGGCATTAATGGTGTTAATTAATTTTTTTGTTTCTGATTTAAATTTTATTTTGTCATTTTATTGAACTGGATTCATGAGAGTTATTATTTGTTTGTTTCAATTCGTGTGTGAGCTCGATCCTCTTCTCAATTAGACTAGGAAGATTTATTTTTCTTTTCTTTTTTGGTATTAGGTGCAGATCCTGTATTTGTTTGTATCAATTTCTGAAGAAACCATAAATAGGAGAAAAATGATAGTTTAATGGGCTAAATACTGTAATTTTGATGATCATGTGAATTGTCCTTACTTTTGCAATTACTTTTTATTACTTGGCATTTACTCTATCAGGACATGTTTTTTTAAAATGCTTTTTGTGAGACTTCTATATGTGCCTCTAGTTATCGGGTGCAGATATGTTGATAAATCTCTTGAGTTTCTTGTTTATATATATATATGAAAGATCACTTTTATTTTTGGTGATCAGGTTGATATTTCTAGGTTCACGAGGAGCCAGCATCCAAATAGGTTCCTTTGGTATCTGGTAATTCAATATTGCAATGCGGGGATATGATACAGATGTATGCACATACTGCACCACCAATCTTATACTTTTAGGGGTTTTTAATACGTTTTGTGTTTATTGATCACTACTCTTCTATTGCAGGAATACGAAGGTTTGGATGAGTATGAAGAGGAAGGTGAGGAGTACGAGGAAGCAGGTGGTGGAGAGGAGGAGTACGAAGAGGAAGAAACCCACCAGCCCACACAGGAGTCATTGGAATATCTTGAACTGAGGCAACGGTTAAAAGAGGCATACAGAAAGAAGATGAAGAAGGAATCTGGGACTGCTAATCCTAGTTCCCGTGACAAAAATAGTACAGTGCATAAGGACAAGTGAGTTTCATTTGCTTGTAGTAAATTTCGGAGACTGTGTCCTTGTGAGTAACGAGTGCCCAGTGGAGTCATTGAAGCAGTCCCCCCCCCCCGAGTTTGACAAGATGTTTTGTTACTCATTGTTCCTGTTCCAGTTAATGAAAAACAGTCAATGGTCAATGAACAACAGTCTATAGTNGTCAATGAACAACAGTCTATAGTCTTTGCCGTTTGTGAAATTTGTGACTTTCAGCTGTTGTAACTTGTTTATGCATTTAATGTGCAATTACTCCCACTGTAATAGGTATTGGTTTAAATTTGACAAGCTGTGGGCACTTTAACATTTTCAGCTGTTTTAAATTGTTTATGATTTCGAGGAAACTTCTGGTTTTTATGTCAAATGTCATTGTCTTTGAACAGTTCTGCAATTTGGGCCTTTATTGTATTTTGGTTCAAATTGAAGGCTGCCTATTGATATATTATATTATATGTCTATGCTATACATGTAAGCATTGCTCAAAATGATTTTGTATTAATGATTTGATTATTGATGTGTTGCAGCTATGGTTCGTTTTTTGGGCCTTCGCAGCCAGTTATTGCTCCGAGAGTGATTCAAGAAAGCAAGTCCTTGTTGGAGAACCCAATTTTGGCAGCAAGGGTTTCTAAACACAACCATTCCATGCGGGCCCACAAGAACTCTGCTTCAGCCACCATGGGATCAAAACCTGGAGCTGGCCATCCGCCAAGAGTTGCAAATGGCGTAATCACTGTATTCATTACTTTATTTTGGGGGTGATTTTAAATTTTTTCTGTTTACTGGATCAAGTATGCATCAGCTAATATGACCTGCTTCTTCTTTTCCACAAGTAAGGGATTTCTCTTCTTTTTGCCTTCCTATAATGTATGGTTATTTGTTAAATACAGGCAAAATCAAAAGTTGAAATGCTTAAAAATACAAGGGACTATTCTTTTTTGCTATCTGATGATGCTGAGGTTCCGGCTCCCTCCAAAAATCCTCCACCGAGAAATGCATCTGCCCCGAGTTCAGGTTTGTGTCCACTCCATTACGATATCTGAATATTTGATGCAAAACCTCATTGCATACTTTTTCTCTCAAGAAAACTTACACAGGTTTTTTGATGCTTTTGAAGAGGTGCGATCAATTCAATTACCACCTAATAGAAAACAACCAGTGAAAGATAGTGGCAAAAAAGCCTTCAGTAGTCATCCTGAGAGGAAACCAATGCCTGCAGGTGGCCAACCAAGACCTAAAGTTGGGTCTGATAAATTGGCTCCATCCAGCAATTTGTCAATGGGATTCAAGCAAAAGCTTGGTATGGATAATGGAAGTGGGCCTGGTCGGCCTGTGGGGATGAAAGATGTACCATCTAGAAATCCAGCAGCCAGCATGGGGAAGAAGGTTACAGCACCAATTGCAAAGAGTTCCATGCCTGGTGAGCGTAAACCAACCCCTTCATACTTGCAACCTAAGTTGCATAAATCAACCCCTTCGCACTCGCAATCTTCTGTTCAAAAGAGACCATTGGTACAAAGGAAAGAGTCTCAAGAAACTATCAAGGCGAAGGTCATACCGAGACAGCCTATGTCATCCTCTAGACCTCAGGTATGGCCAACTTTTAATTTGGTAAATGGGTAATTCGTGGTATGTGATCATGCAAGTTGCTATGATTTCAGATGGAATGCTGTACAATATAACCTGATTTTCTCCTACAATTTGGCAGGTAAAGCCACTACCACCTAAATCCTCGGCTCGTGGTACTTTGGCTGAAGAACACCCAAAGAGAAAACGTATGAATGAGGACGACGATGATGTGCAAGCTATAAGTATGATCAGAAAAATGTTCGGGTAATTATGATTTATTTTTTCTCTTGCAAATTATTTTCGATTCCCTCTGTATCCTTCCTTAATGACTGAAGTATGTTCAGTACTGCAATTTGTTCCAATTTATACGGCTTTCATTTGAGCATTGTCGGACCTTTTACAGGTATAATCCTAAAAAGTATCGAGATGACGACGATGACAGTGACATGGAGGCTAATTTTGACGATATCTTGGCGGAGGAGAGACGCAGGTAAATAGATATGTTATTATTGATATTGCATGCTTTTTAACTTTGGTTTGTGTATATGCTTCTTGTTTTATATTAAATGGGTCGATGGTTAGTCCCCGAAATTTTCTTTTCCTGTCTGGGTAATAGGCCACGCTCTTTGGGCTTGACTCTTGTATTTGGCTTATTAGAGTTGGTATTACACGTCAGGGAAATTTAGCTTGTCGTATTTATGTTTGTGTTTGAATCTATTTTTGAAGAGAATAGAAATTTTGGAATAGTGATTGATGTGAGAATGTGTGGTGGAAACATGATGAAAAGTTTTTGATTTGTGTGTAATATTATTTTGTTTGGAGAATGTGTGGTTGAAATGAAGAATGAGAATGAGAAATTAATGGGTGTCAAATGGGGGCTATATATTTTATTTCTATAGTCACATCAAAATCACCATTATTACATTATTCACTAGAGAACTGCATGCTTCTGTGAACATAATTTCTAGTTGACAACGTGGACAGCCTAGAAGCAGTTTGCTGTTGGGCATTTTGATGATCCATTTGTTTATGACAAATTTTGCAATGACAAAATGCTTTCGATTTGATAGATTCAGTTGCACTTTTGAGTGACTATTCGAATTGATATGTCATGTTACTTTTGAATTTTGCTTGGATAGCAGTAGCACATATGAAAATTAGCCCTCATGTTGTTTTCTTGTTAAAACTTTTGTCTCATCTCGTGGAGGATGCTTACAATTGATTTTTTTTGTTATTCAGTGCACAAATTGCGAGGAAAGAGGACGAAGAACAACTTCGCCTTATAGAAGAAGAGGAAAGGAGAGAGCGGATGCGATTGGCAAAGAGGCAGCGAATGCGATGATAGAAAGAAATGCTTCTATGATAACAGAATTGGCAGTTGAATTGGCTCAACGATTCCTAGAAGTTAGAGCAAAAAAATGAAGGGAGTCCTGCCTTGATATTATGAGGTTCATTCCATATGTAAAGTGTATGAGAACTGGGCCTTTGGTTATTTATCAGTATTAGGGTTATCTTTTTTCCAGCTTTAGATTACATGATTGATTGTTTTTTGTGCCCTTCATATTGTTTGGGGTGAAAATGTATAATTAATGCTCTTCAGTTCTAGTGAATGCGGGCTCTTTCGTCAATTTCGTTGCTTCTTGATTCAATCGTTCTTCCCTTTGAACTGGCTGTTTAATTCAGACTAGACGGAGTCTTATTCAAGTTGAGAATTGGGAGAGGCATTAAAAATCTTGGACCAAGGAAATATTAAGCTCCTCTTTGATGGCCATTATAGAGAGAAATGAAGAGAAAATAATGTTTTGAAAAGTGATTTTTTGGAGAATGCGTGGTTAAAAAGTATCGGGGGCTAACTGTTAAAGTCATTGTTATTTCTCTAAAGCGGTTAACCAGCTATTGTTCCTTGTTCTGTTTTTTTAATAAAATTTCGTCATTGTTGTTTATTGAGAAAATCGAATAGCTCTTAACCGGTACTGTTGTGTGATATAATTTATAGGTTCGGACTGTATTGAGTCTATTGTGTGATATAATTTATGTGTAAGGGCTGCGATTATTTTATTACGCGTAGCCTCACCCTCATTCGAATTGTCAACCCATAAATACATATAACATGATTGAATTAGTCGACAGCAAATTATTCTACCATGAATATTCATGTGGATTATCCAAGCTTGTCAAGCAAAAACATCATTCCTTGTGCGGTGAAAGGCTATCAATTGTGGTGGTCTCAAACAAGGTTATCGTGAACTATTCTCTTCGAATATTGAATCTAAAAAGGTCAAGTTGGAGACATCCTCGACTATAATAGAGAAAACCCGTAATATTATCAATCAAGTCTGCACCATTTCAAAGGAATTCGTCCAAAAAGTTAAACTACGAAGAAGTTCAGAAGAGGTAATGCTTAGAACTCAACAGTGCAAATTCTGCAGCTACCGTTTAACGTTTGAGTTGTTCAACGCTCTTGTTAAGTCCTTGATGAACACTAAAAGCAATTAAATAAGAAATGTACCAAAATAATGTAAATTAGTGAATGTGAAAACAAATCTGGCCACGACTGCAACATAATAAGTTCGACAACACTTAAAAGTAGCTTAAAAAAAGTGCTTTTTTCCGAAACAATCTACGAAAAATTACCTGCACTTGGACAAATTTCTTAGCTCTTACATAATTTTTTTTTTAGAAGTGATTTTGTGAAATGTGATTTTTTGGAGAACGTGATTAAAAATTGGAAAAACGTTAGGCATTTACATGTATGATTATTTTTTTGAGAAGATGTGTAGTCGAAAATGAATATAAGAAAAAATATTTTTTGAAAAAGTCATAATCAAAATTTATTACTGTTTGATCCTCATTTATTAAGACCCTGTTTGGGCCACCTTATTTTCTCATTAAAATGAGATCGTTATCCATCACATCAACATTTTTAAATTTTCTATCTCTTGTGTGACCTCAATAACGACTATATTTTTCATTCACATTCTAAAAAAAGGTGACTCAAACAAGACCTAAACTTTATTTTTATCCTCACGTCATTTCAATAAAATAATTTTATACGTGAATTTATAACTTTATCGACTTTTTGAATACGAAATTTTGAAAATTACTTTTTAAAAAATTTATTCTAAAAAAAAAATTATATAAAACAAGGATAGTGTGATAGAATTTCGCTATGTACAAACATCAAAACCAAAGTAAAAAACCTTTTTAAGGCCTCTCTAGCATACCCGTGACACAGACAGACACCTCATCATCTTCTGCAATATAATGCATAATTTGCGGCCTCTTCTCTAGATTGATTGGAAATAATAATTACGGGAAAATGATGTTGCTCGTAATTGCTTCGATCCCGAATGTTCTCCATCTTCCCCAATTCATTTCAATAAACCAAAAACACGATCGACATCGCTACGTTTGTTGCTTTGGGTACTACTCTTCACCTCGACTCGAAATTTCAAAATTCTTGTGGTAGAAGTTGGTGTTAACTTGTTTTGATTCGTCAAAAAAGGGTTGTTGATGTTTTTATAATGTCCTCCCGCAACGTTGTTTCAGTATCTAGAAAATTCAGTTTAGATTTTGCGTTTGAGTTAAATTTATCAATTTCAGGAAGAATGGGGAGAGTAACGGCTTATCCACAGGTTCTTTTGAGAGGGAGTAAGCATCTTCTCTCTTTATATTGAGTTTTTGGTTCTGCGTTTTATATAGAAAAATCACTAAACAATTAGCGTCTTCTGCAATCTGGCCTGGGAAGCCGCGATTACATGGAGGTGCATCAGGTAAGCTTCCTCTCCACTATTTACCACTTATTACTTCTGTGTTCTTTGGCAAATTCCTCTTTTGTTTGTTCTGTAGAAGCAGTTGCAATCTATCAATAACAAAGCAGAGAAACAGACTGACATTTGGCAACTATTTAAGGAAGCACAGCAAAGTTAGTAACGGCCTATTTTTGTGATTAATTATACTGTGCATTATGCAAAGCTGTCTTGATTTGTGATGAGGTGATATGTGTATCTAATTCAGATATTCTATACTTGAACAAACAACGCCTAATGGCAATTGAAGAGCTTGACAGAGTGAACAATGAAAAGCAATCATTAGTTAATAAAATAGAGCAACTGGAGGCAAAACAGCAGGGCAACACCAGAAGAGGTGACAATGTTTTGAGTTTATTTTACCATAATAGATTCTGGATATTCTTAGTCTTAGACACGGTATGGCCATATCTGGAGACACTGTTTTCATTCCAGTTCTTTATTTTGTGAAGCCCCCTTGTAGGGGACCTAGAAGTATTATACAAAATCAAAGGAACAAGGGGTGCTCATACTTTTTTGTAAATGTTTCATATCAAATCTGTATCTTCCATTAGGATCCATTAAAGTAATGTGGCTCTTGCATTAAATATCATGAGAAATTAGAAAATAATTACTAACAAATATGAGTTTGGGCAACCTATATTTTGTTAAGATTTTAAAAGTACGTTGGTATTCCATTTAATTTCAAATATATCAACGAAGCAAAACCATGAGTGTTGGTGACGCAGGATTCAATAGAACAATTATAGGAGAAGGGAGAGCGAAAGGAGAGAAGAAGAGGGAGAGAATATTAATATTTATTCATATATCAAAGCTTGTCTGAATTACTTCGCATAAGCCCCCTTTATATATGGTTTAAACTAGCTCAAATTGAAGTAGTAAAATACTATAAAATCAAATCATAATTATGTTTCCTAAAATAAGTTTTAAAATTGGAAACTAAATTAAATACTATCTCTTATAATAATGCATAAGATCTGCTATCATACAAATTCCTATAGCACTTCTTCATTTCGTTTCACCTGTTTTAGTCCTAGCATTACATGCTCATCAATTCCCTTATGCAAATAAGTCTAATGGCTACAATTACTGCATTCTCAATATGACCAGACAAGCTCGCAATCAGCTCCGAGTTGCTGCTTAGGATAGATTCGATGGTTCTCACTGGCATAATTGGCGGTAGGGAGGCATCTGATTTTAGAAAGTTATTAATGGATTCAAGAGGTGGTGTGGCTGATGACTTCTATGACACCATTTACAAAAATGATGCTGAACTTCTGGCAAAGCTGCGCCACTTCTCTGTAAAAGGAAAAAAGTAATGTTTTCCATGCTTATTGTAACTACTTTCTAGTGTAATGTTCAATTATAAATATTGATCTTCAAAATTTTAAAACATTGACTTAAATTTAATAACAAATTCCATATTTTCAATATAATCTTATGGGCTTGCTATAGCCTCCTTTTTTCTGAACACTAGTGGACTATAAGTAAAAAGAAAAACTGCCAAGGGAAAAATCTTTTGATCTGTCGTTTTCTGCAGAATATATGATAGAGAAGTGTCTTTTTAGGAGATAATATACCATATGTACGTTTTCTGTAAATATGTCAATATTGCTAGGACCTAGACTTTTCAGTGCACTTGATGAAGTCTTGCATTAGTCACCCTAAAACCATTGATATATCAAACTACATATTTTGAATTGTAACAATATTGCAGAAATGTTGTAATCCTATCTGTAAGGTTTTAGAGATGCTATACTTCAACCCACCCTTATCGTTCCTTTTATCTTCATTTTCAGATGTAGGCTTCTTTTTCCAACTGTTTTGCTTCAATGCCCAGATGATGTATCTTGATCTACTAGAAGTTGCTTTACTCTTTCCATATTACTAAAACTTAAAATTCTGTTTCCCTAATTTTAATTCAGGAAGGGCTTTCACATAGTCCACATCTGTACTGAAATGGAACCAGTGGTCTCTGTTGGATTTTTGGCATCATACGTGACAGGCATATCTCGTGCCCTGCAGAAGAAGGGAAATCTTGTTGAGGTTATTTTGCCCAAGTAATCATGAACTATACAATGTTACAATTGCAAATTATTTTTTGTACAAATGTTGTGGTAATAATTGGTGTATTTTCTTACAAATGTTTGTGGTAATGGGTGCATGAAATTAATAACTGTTTTATCGGTCACCTATCTTGTACAGTTTTCAGTTTCCCTTTCCCTTTAATCTCGTGTCTGTTTGCAAATACACCAAGGCTTAGATTTCTCAATTACTTTCTTGATTATATTGCTGACTGTGGTAGGAAGTCTGAAGATGATAACCATTGGTAGTGTAAGAGTCTAGTGGACTGTTGTCATATAAATATGAGTAGATTTAGCTAACAACTTCTATACCTGAAAGGCTCTTGTTTTCTCTAATATGCAATTTTCCTGAACAATCCTTCATCATGGATATTTTTGGAAGAGAATACAAATTGGTGGAATGATTGTTGATTGAAAAGGTTACAATCACCTAATATACTGGAATTGTCTAATTCACATCCTTGAAGGTAGTTAAACCACTTGGAAGGAATTTTTCTCAAACAAAATAACTACGTTCGATTTATTTGTTGCTTTATGAATATGAATAGTGTGAGAAATTCATGTGACCAAGAACTCAGAGTCGAAAGACAAATTGGCAAAATCGATCAATTCAAAGATGAAACCAAATATGATGGTTTTGATGCATTGATCAATAAATTCAAAACAATGCATTGTTTTCTACTATCTACACAAGCATATCTTACTCAAAAAGAAATAAAATCAGAAATAAAGTCATCGAAATTGTAATGATGCATCAGGAGTGGGAATCTCTAATAATAGATAACTATTGGAGCACATAAGCATATAACACCTGAATATAGGACTGTAAAAGTAGTGATCTATTAACAATCAACCTTCATTTGTGTTCTTTAATCTTTTTAGCCTGGCTGCTCGTGTTTGTGATTGTGACTTGCTTAAAATGTCCGTTTGTAAGGAAGCATTACATTTTATATTTTAGTATTAATTTACAGCTTTTCATAATTATATATGTGAGCAACCTGTCTTTGTAATAAGCGTCCTTTCTTTGGATTTCTCTTTATTTGGCAAAAGAAATGGTGATATATGAATTCACGGTATCTGCAAATAAATATTTATGGTATTGAGTAATGCTATTCAGCCCCATTGGTGTTTAGTTTAACATCGGTCTAATTCGCAACTAAATGGTATTAAATGATAGATCCATTTAAATGTAAAGTCAAATGATCAATTTAATTGGACCTATCAAATGTGGCCACTTAGATTGGTGTTCTAGCATCACTAGTGCTAGATAGCATTATTGTTATGGTATTTGGATATATTACATGAATTGGAAAATGCATAGCTCATTGTTAAAATTTTCAGTTTCTATATTGTTATGCAAGTTCCAGTCCACTTTACTTTTTATACCGTTCAATGACTGAATGAGCCTTACATGTATTTATTCCTATGGTAGATTAACTATATTCCAGGTATGCAGAATTAAATCTAGATGAAGTTCAAGGGTTCCGAGAAGTCGAAGCACATTTTTACTCATACTTTAATGGTCAATTGCATGAAAATAGGGTCTGGACTGGGTGAGTCAGTATATTATTCTCTATTGTTTGATTGCAGTGGCTTTATTTATTTATTGTTAGATTAAATTTGTTCTTTTGTGATGTTTGATTTGGGAGAATAACTTATATCACATTAATATAAACAGGTTAAACACACACACATACATATACATACAGAGGATATTTCTCATTAGGAAATAATCCAGTCTAATCAGGAAATAATTCTAGACTTATGCACCTTCTATATATACATCTGTTGTCTATGTAAAGATTAAATTTAAGCCTAAATAGGTGCATACAACTCATAACATTTTGAATATATGATAGATGTTTATTTCTTCTGCAGTGCTTCTCTCGGTTTGTATTTCTCAACTAAATTGGTTTTCATGCTTGGTACACAGGGTTGTCCATGGCATTGGAGTTACTTTTATACAACCTGTGTATTATTCGTCATTTTTCAGCCAAGAGAGAGTGTATGGTTACTCAAATGACTTCGAAAGGTATGTAATATTCTTTTCCAAATTCTTCTTTGATATTTACTTGGTCAAGTCCATCTTACATACTTTTAGGAAATAGTTGCAAATATCTCATATTATCCTTGATGCCTGTCATTTGGTTTGCAGTTCAATATGGTAATATCTATTAGATATAAAATGTGATTAAAGTGTTCGACAATGCAGTGTTAAAATTTTTTTCCTCAAACTGTAAAATATCCCAAACTAAACTTCCTGGGACTTATTGTTTGATTTTACTTTGGCTGCACTAACAAAGGAATTCTGCATGTAAGCCTTTTAGCATGGTTGGTTTTGTTGTATGCAACCCAAAGGTGGGACTACAACTTTCCCTTTTGGATTAAGTTGACCTAATTTTGACGGTTCTTTCACCCACTCCTACCTGAACCATAAACCTATGAAGTTGATAATTGTGGATTCTGGTGCCAGTTCTAGTATCAATACTTAAGAGAATCATTGACTGACCCAACAAGCATCCAGTATCAGTACTTATGAGTATCATTGACTGACCCAACAAGCAGGATGAAGCCAGGATTTTAGAATTGGCTTTTTCTGGGTGGAGGGTTGTGACTGTGGAGGGCAGAAACTCACAACTTCTGGTAGTAGTGAATTGTAAATATTATTTTAAGAAAAAGAAGAATTCAACTGCTGAAGGTTGAAAATGGTATTATACAGGTCAAGTAAAAAATCACAGATCATGAATCATTTATACCAAAAAATATGGAAAACATGCTATTGTTTTAGTTCTATGGAAGCTAGTTTGAGAGGAAAAGACTTTTTTCTACAGGTTTAATCATAACATGGTTGTTTAATATTGAAGAATCAAGAAGCATATCCGGAATAGAAATAAATGATCGACGTTGTAATAGAAAACAAGAATATATCATATACTTACAATCATACTCAATTACAAACTATCACTTAAATTAAATTATTTAATACTCAGTTCACTTTTACCTTCAATTCTGGTCCTAAATGATACTCTCGTTCGAAGAAAAAGGGTCAAAATGGAAGCCTCGAATAAACCAGAATAAATACAATTAAGAATATAATTATTAGCTTAAATGAGCAAGAGAAATTAGGAGGTCTGAGAGGGAAATATTAAGAGAGCAGAAAAGGGGGAATCCTTGCAAGTAGGGACTAGGGAGTGTGCAAGCGTGTAGGGAAGATGTAATAATATCTCGATATACATAATTACTAAAACATTTCTCAAGATTGGATGGTTGTTAATGCTCTTCTTAGATTGAGGATGGGAGTAAATAACCTGAAAGAGAGTTTCCTACCTGAAGGGTGAGTGGGTGGGTGGAATGTCAATTACAGTGGATGCTGTTGCAATCCATGTATTTAACTGGGCTAGGTATGCCTCTTCTGGTTGCAGGTTTTTTGGTTTGTGGATTCATTATTTGTGCTATTTAGTAGAATTTTTGTTGTTTAGAACTATATGCATGCTACTGTTTTTCTTTTTGACCGCTGGAATAGATTTGTAATACGTCATTTAATGTTGATGTGTCAGATTCACCTATTTCTCACGTGCCTCACTGGACTATATAGTTAAATCAGGAAAACAACCTGATGTTCTTCATATACACAATTGGCAAACATCTATTATTGGGCCTCTCTTCTGGGATATTTTTGTCAATCAGGTGCGATGTTTTAACTGTTCAGGCTCTTTTAACACCATGCATTGGAAAATAGGAGGCTTTCTGATTCATGATATGTTAAGCTCCTTCTCTTTTCTGACAAGTAAAACTTGATTGTGGAAATTCTTAGCTATGTCATTATGTTAGCTATTTCCTAAGGACCATTACCTTGGAGCAGATTTTGAATGTAGTTCTACTCAATCATGGGCTTTTAATCTCCCAGTTTTAGTATAAAGCTGGAGATTTCTCTTACAGAATCAGTGGGCTTTTATTTATACAAGTTCATTCCTGGGGATTCTTTACTAGTCTAAGGCTTTGTCTTTGATTATAACAGTTACTTGTTGATTATAAAAGTTGCCTTTTGTCATTTTACTTGATAATCTGTTTTAATTTGCAGGGACTTGAAGGCACTAGGATATTGTTGACCTGCCAGGGCTTTGATTCTCAGGCACGCATCGTATTTTATTGTTGTTTTTTGGGATCGCAATCTTAAATTTTTGCTAGTTTTTCCCTTCAATGTGTGTTTATGTGAACAAATACACATATTAGATGCATATTGTCATCTCACCGAGGCTTTTAATTCTGCTAGTGTCTTGAGCAACCTGAAAAGCTAGCCTTATGTGGACTTGATCCTTCAAGACTATACCGTCTCGATCGCCTGCAAGATAACAAGAAAGCTCACCTTGTCAACATTTTAAAGGTACATCTTTCTTCCTTACCTTAAGATGAAGTCCTTAATTATATGCATTTCCATTAAGGTATGTGTTTATAGCAGGCATTGAATACTATGCATTTTTTTTCATTTTTGGGAAGGAGCTATTTAATATACTTCACTGTGCATGTGGAACTTCTTTGTGATTACAGAATAACGATACATTGTTGATCCTGTTGTTGGAATATATTATAAATTTTTAAAAACGTAGTTATATAGATAACTTTCTTATCTGTTAGCCAAAAATAACTTAAAATATACCCCAAGTGATCGTTGTATATCCTTGACATATGTTCATTTGTACTTGTGTCTTAGCTTCAATCCCATCTATTTGGGAGCATTATCATGGACATGATTAGTAAATATGAGTTGGGGGAAAATTTTGGCATGTTATATAGGTTCTGGTAAAATATATTTGATTTGAAGAGTATGCGAAAAACTCTAATCTAAAATTTTCTCGTGGTTCTAGTTTAATAGTAAATTCAAAATTTTAATTAGAAATAGCACTATTCGTTGAGTATGATGTAGTAAATTATGTGTATTGTACATCTTAACTGAAGCAAACAAGTAATAGGTTTCCAAAAGTGTGTAGTAATTGAAATTTTGTTCAATTATTATAATTTTGTGCATACATGTAATGCCTACATATATTAACATAAACAAATCAAGCATTACTAACTATTTTATCTAATTTTAGATTCCCTTCTTACTTCGAGCGTTTTTTTTAATTTATTTCTTGCACCACATCATAACCAATTAAGCTAGTGCTTTTTTTCATGGTTCATATCTTCTATCAATTTTCAGGGTGGAGTTGTATACTCCAATAAAGTCATAATAATGCCATCCATACAATCGAAAGACCATATTATTAGTGGATTGGGTCATGGCTTGGAACCCACCTTAACTACTCACAAGTATGTTTGCTTCTTATGGAATTCTGAAAATTGGATTGTTAACCCAACCTATCATCTTATTAGTCTTCCTGCCTCTCTTTCTCTGTCTGTTAATGAACTCTTTCCAGTGAAGGAATATATGCACTTAATGTAATTACATAAAAGTTATTTAGGACCCGTTTGACATGACTGTTGCTTCTGCTTCTACTTCTTGTAGAAGAGGTTTTGGAGGAAGTTACCTTAATTTTTATTTGGAAACTAATTTTTAAAAAAGTTTCCTATTCCGAAATTCTTTTTAGAGGAAGTCACGCTGACTAGCTTCATCTAAAAACTCTTCTAAATATCAGAAGAATTTTCATAAAATTAGCCAAACGAGTTCAAAAACAGCTTTTGGGTGTCAAAAGCTCCTTTTGGCTTTTCAAAAGCGATGGCAAACGGGCCCTTAACCATTTAACTTTTGATTCTTTTCCACTTTCTCGTGTAAATCCTATTGGGAAATGACAATGCCTTATCCTATGGGACTCTTGTTTAAACTTTGGTGCAGGGACAAATTGCTGATTGCTCCTTGTGGATTTGATAAATCAACTTGGGATCCTTCCCTTGACAAATTTCTTCCACAAAACTATAATGCAGATAATGTGAAAGGGAAATCTGTGTGCAAGGCCTCATTGCAGCGGCACCTGGATTTACCTCAACAGGCATCCAAAATTCTCGTGAGTGTTCAGCCCTAGGTAGCTTATTATGGAGTAACTGCAAGAGTGTTATTGACAGCCAGATTGCAAAAGTGTTGCAATTTTATATTCAGGTTATGAGAGCAATCCGTTTTAAAAAAATTGAGTTATGAGAGAATCAATATAATTATTAAAGTAATAAATAAAAAAATATATAAAATGGAAAAATATACTTATAATGACTGATTTGTTGTTTGAATCAATAAATGTAGTTCAAAGTTAGAAGTATGTGTTACAGTTATAATACTTATTTGTTAGACATGCTATGTACAAAATGAAGTTGCCGTTACAGTAGAAGAGCTCCATTTCTCATCCTATTCTCCGAGATTTGAGATTGGTGACATTATGCATACCATTATCCAAGTTTTCTTTTAGATGGTTTGTGGTCGTTTTATACAAACATGTGGTGCAATCAAGATTTCCGATATGGACAGTGCTCGAATTCTGTACAAAATTATTTTGTGGGAAAATTATCTTGCGTTAGCTTATATCGCCTTGTGTATACAAATTTGGTGACTTGATTTTGTTGATAAGGAAATTATGCTTTTCGACCACTCCCCTTGGTAGGAAACAAAGAAGAGAAGGCCAAAAAAAAAGGGAAAGAAAATAAGAAAGAACTTCCATCATAGTGATCCTTTTCTTGCGTTCACTTGGGAGTTCAGCTGTGATATCTATCTAATGTCTAATAGGTTAGCTTAGGGTTCCAGTTCAAATATGCTGGCTTTGTGGTTAAGGGCATGGAACTGAGCTGTTTGGAATATTTATTAATTATCTAACAAGCCACCATATGATCAGGTGAAGTTTAGAATTAATTTACCCGCTTTGGAAACATGCTAACATTCTCAAGTTAGTTGGCACGGTATCTCCTTCGAAGGCATATTGTTATAACTATTTCTTTAGCAATATGCTTAAAAGTTTTTGCACATGCAATGCAATTTCCCCAGGTCAAACAGGGAAAATAGCCAAATATGTGAACAGTGAACCTGAAGAGAAAAATTGTCTTATGCTGCCTTTTCTTCCATAAACTAATCACCTGTCAGTCCGCAACTTGTGTTCCATTAATTGTCAGCATGACCTATTTCAGTTCCATATCTGTTTTTAAGTTACCTGACTACATATTACCACTATTCAGCATAATTCAACAATAATATATGTCTAGGTTGGATGCATATGCTCAGACATTTCAGATTTTGACCTGGAGAGCTTAAAGATGCTCGTGTGGATGGCTTCTAAAAAGGGCATTCAGGTTTTCACTCACATATCAGAAAATTCTTTTTTAGAAAGAAACAGTGATTTATCAATAAATCTGCTGATAAACATAATGATAACTGAAGTGAGTTTAATTTAATACTTGTACCAAGACATCTGCTTCCCGTTTCATTAACTATAATTTTTCAAGTCAAAAGCATTAACTAACCAGTAAACCAGTGAGTTTTTATTATTTTCGTTTATTTTATTTTGTACATAGTAGTTTACATATCTGATTCATTTCTGGGTTCTCTGCAGTTTATCTTTATGGGATTTAGTCAATCTACAGGCACAAGCATGGCCTTGGAATTTTTTAAGGAAGAAATGAAGGTATTTTACCTGCATTTTCTGCTTTCAGCTAATTGTTTTTCTAGGGAGCCTTTTATTGGCCTCGATGAGTGAGTTATATAAATGCATCTTAAGTACTTTGCTATTTTGTGAAATTGATTGCTGTAGTGTAGACCATTTTCATGTATTCCACTTCAAACTCTCAAGTTCTTTACATATTCTTCTCATAACAGGCTCTTCCAGAAAACTGAGTAAGCTCACCTTTGTTAAACCAATTCAACAATTATTACCCCTGGAGATATGAACATTCTGGACGTGTGTTCAGTACAAACTATAAGTAGCTAGTTGGCACCTGGCAGTGTCTTCACATTTCTTGTTTTATTTACTCTTTTCTCATGGGAAACTGTGGTTTGATTTTTAATAGTCTCTGTCAGATCACCTGGATCAACTCTTGGATAGCATAAGTAATTTGAAAGCAAAAAAATAAAAAATAAAAAAATGGCATCCTGTTTTTGTCCATACATCTCGTGTGTCTTTACATAAAATGATTTTGTTGAACTTTACTTCCACCAGAGTCAATGATCCAAGTCATTACATGATTATTCTCCAAGAGCCATCATACTTGGAATCACTAAACTATTGTCCATATTATTAATTGGTAGAGTCAGCTTCCCTCTACCGGAAATAGTACCACCTATGCAGACCCCCCTCAATTCCTTTGAGGTTCAATCTTGCAAACTTACTCCCCAAGCAAGATAGTTAATGTGTTAACTTCCTCCTTTAGATAAATCTGAAACCCTCATTGAGAATATCTTCCTTTGGTGGTCAAAGTAAAAATGTCACTTCGAATATTTTTTCAGAAAATTTGATCACTTACAAAGAGAGCAACAAAAGAAATATAAAACGAATAATAGGAATAATTATCTAAATATGGTTCAATGGGAGCAAGAAACGTTTCTGCCTGAAATGGACAAGAATAGTTCCTGATTTATGGATAAAAAATCTTGTTTGCATAGCTTAGAAGAACCTATACTTGTAGGTTTCTTCAACAAGAAGCATATAAAATAGGTTCGCGCCAGTACTATTTACATCATTCTAAAGTACATCCTGATCCCTGCTATATAGAAGTTACTGCTTTACTCTGATGTATTCCTGGGTCAGAAATGTGAAGCAAAATGTAAGTTCTTCCTGTGATTGTAATCATTGTATATAAATTTCTGTTACTTTATTATGATAAGTAAACAGAGAAAGAAAGCCTTGGTAAATCTCCCCCTAGCTGTTACAGTCCCCAAATCCTCTGGAAACGTTAATTTACCCTTGATCCAATAGTTACTAACATTAAATCAGAAATCTAAATGGGTTATGTCTTGTGCCTGAAGCTAGGTTGGCCTGTCTCCAGCTGCTTAAACCAAGTGGTTGGCTTAAAATAAATGACATTGTTGTTTGTGATTTAAGCACTGTCTCATTGTCAAGCATCACTTTGCATCAAGTTGTTTTAAAACTCCACGGGTATGCTGGTCCCCTGAGCAAATGATTGAGAAGCAACAGTTGTCATTTTGAGCACTGAAAAATTTCTGTTTCACATGGTTACAGTTTGGAGGCCTTTAAGAGCCTGTTTGACAACCATTATTGTAGAAAAAAAAAGTTTTGAATAGTGATTTTTAGGAGAACGTGTGATTAAAAAGTAGGGAAAAGTTTTTGGTATACGTGTTGAATATTTTATTGTGTGAATGTGATTGTGATTGAAAATAATCCTGTAGCAAACCATAAATTAAATTAATGGGTGTCAAACAAGCACTAAATATTATGGTCTTATTTACACTGGACCAATGATTGGCGCGCACATTTTTTTATCTGATTTAAAAACTAAACTCGCTTCAGGTGTTTCTCACAGGATTGTTTGAAACTAATACGCTGTTCAATTCTTTCACGCTGCAGGATGGAAATGTGAGATTCATAGACAACTACGATGATGAATTATCACATTTAATATTTGCAGGGTCTGACATTATGTTGTGCTCGTCTTTTCATAATCTTCTGCTTCAAGTGCCGGTACGTGTTGCAAATTTTTAGTTACTATACGGAGAACAAAATGACATTACTCTTTAGCAGCAATAACATATGCTCAGAAAGAAATTACTTTCCAATGCAAATTTATAGCCATTACTTTGACAGTGTTGTAGACAATCCTTAACTTACAAACAAGATTATGTAACTTTCTGTTAAAGATGTGTGTATTTTGAATGTTAGCATTGTAAGGACGGCTACCAATAGACTCTTGTATGGCCAAAGAATCACTCACTACCCATCCCCCAAAAAGATGGTGGGAAAAGATGTATGCAAGCTACTTTGAGACTCTTGTTTCATTTATTTGTTTTTCTTGGGATAGGTGGTCAGTCAGGGTGGTTTTTTCCTTACAATCTACTAAAAGAGAAAATATTTTTAGATGAACACATAGCAATGTAGTACAAACATTATGGAAAATTCTTGAATTGTCTACCTATTAATATGTGGTTGTGAGTCCAAGATAAGCCAGTAAGCAGAAAACGGAGCGCAATCCCGTATGAATGACCACAGGTGGGTGTTTGCTGAAGAAAGTTTTATGCAATTTAGTCAAATGTCACTGGAGCTGTATTGTACCAACAGCCTTGTGAAAGCATTCTTGGTTATCATCAGTAACTCATGATCAGGAAAGATCTCTCCCTCTGAATATGCAAGCATGCTCTCTTTCTGTCATCATCTTATGTTAAAACTAGGGGACCTTAAGACAACTTCCTAATATGTGATGAACAGATGTCAAGATATCTGCATTTGAACTCTGAACTTGATAAGTTTTGTTCTTTTTTTTTTTCCCTACCCTGAACTTTGCTGTCCTGTCTCATTGGGTTTATGTGCTAGTGGTTGCCCCTCTATGCGATTGGATAATTGCATGGACATATGACGAGCTCATATAACTTCTTCCTACAAGGGCTGAGTGGTTGCAGTCTTGCAGCATATAAAGTACACAAAGGTTTATCTCATGCACGTAGTTTATGCTCTTATCAACTAAACACTTACAGTGGCTCTTGCACCACCTATTTAGCTGTCGTTGAGGTTGTTTTCCGATGGTTTAAATAATCGCCAGAGCACATTTACTATCTATCTATTGATCTTTCGCGTGTGTTTATATGCCTGCTATATTGTAGTCCTCTTTCGGGGGATGGAGGTGGAAGTCAGCTATGTTGTCTGCTATAAACATTTTTAATGTTTAGTCAATGGTTATGCTTGATACATAACCGTAAATGTACCATCTGGCTGATATTGTCGACATGTAGTCTTACTGAATATTCTCCACTTTACATGTTCCTTTATTTTCTATATGTAGCTCAAGGCCCTGAAATATGGAGCAGCTCCCATTGCAGTACGTTCTACTGACAGCAGATTTGGGTTAGTTAATGTGTTATGCGAACATTAATTTAGTTTTCCTTTAGTTTGTAGAGAAGGAATAAAATCCACGTCTCTGTGTACAACTGTATTCCTAACAGGCACTTTGGAGATCATGATATGGGGAGCACTGAATTCTCACAGTTCATCAACAAAACCTTTGCGCAAATGTCATTGAGCCAAGCTGTCGAGGAAATTGTATGTATTTCTTTACATACATCCTCTCCTATCGTTGAGGGAGAAAAATCTCTTGCTGAGCTTTTGACTACTAGCTTTAATCTCTTTCTAAATATCTGTGTCTGCAGACAAACAATCCATCAGAATGGAACCGAAGGATGACAGATGCAATGATGAAGGATTTTTCGTGGGATGCAGAATGCTCTGATATACATATTCATGCCTATTCATCAATAAAAGAACTGTAGAGAAGTT